CTCAGCCCCTCCAGAGACGGACTCTGCGGGGCTCAGCTCTGCAGCCTTTCCCACCACGGCCGGCCACGGCAGGCTTCAAGTTGAGCACAAACCTGCTCCCTGCCGCTGCCACCGACCGGGCCGACGCAGGAGTCAGCCCCCGCCCCTCGCCTCGTGCTGTGTGACCTCGAGCGAGTGGCGCTGCCTCTCTGTGCTCCCTTCTCCGCCTGTGCAAGGCAGATGGTAGCAGTGGGAGGGTCACAAGTGCTCTCTGGTGTTCCGTGGAAGTCGGTGACCCTGTGTGACACCCACGCCCAGCTCTCTAGAAATGCCCGGGAGACCAGCTCGCTGTGCGTCTTCTGGAGCTACTTGCTTTTCTCCGGGACTCAGTTTCCCCATATGGTAATAAGGGGAAAATTAGGGGAATCAATTCCCCGCCCTCCCCTTCCCAAGGATGTAGGGTTCTCAGGCGACTGGTGGGGACGGGGGATTTTTGTTTGCTTGGTGTTTTTGTTTTGCCGAGACTTCTGGCCTGAGCCTTCGTCTCATTGTTCAGACAGCAACTTGGTCCCCTCGGCCTCTGGGCCTGCCCGGTGGCCCCTGCAGCTCTGTCCACCGCATCTCCCTGTTCCCTCTGCCTGGTCACTGTCTCCTTTTTTTATTTTTATTTTTTATTTATTTATTTTTTGAGACAGAGTCTCACTTTGTCACCCGGGCTAGAGTGAGTGCCGTGGCATCAGCCTCGCTCACAGCAACCTCAAACTCCTGGGCTCAAGCGATCCTCACGAGCCCTCTCTCCACCGTCCGGACACGCGGCGTCCCCAGGCCCCCAAGCACACGCTCCTCCCCAGCTCTAGCCTCGCCCCAGGGGGTCCTACGCCTGCACCCCAACTTTGGGAGATGGCAGCTTCTCCTAGGGTTCTAGCACGCGCCCTCTTCCCCAGCTTCCTGAGCCTTGACCCCAAGGATTCCGAGCCACGTCCCACGGACGCTAAGCTTGCGCCCCCATCCAACCTTCTGAAACAGGTCCCCTAGCCACGCCCCAGGAGGTTTTCTAACGGCCTCCCGCTCAACCTCCCGGTCCCGCCGCGGGTAGGGTGCCTTAGCGCGACCCCACCCGAGCTCCGCGGCCACGCCCCGGGGACTCCTGCGCGTTCGCCCGTCCCAATCCCCCGGCGCGGGGGTCCCTCCGTTCTCCTGTCGCCGCGCGCGCCGCCCACCTGTGTGCGTGCGCAGGTGCGCCTTGAGGTGCGAGCTCTTGGTGTAGGTCTTGCCGCAGCCGCGTAGCTGCAGGTGTGGGTGGCGGTGCGCTTCGGGGCAGGAGCGGGCGGCCGCGCTTGGGCTGGCTCCAGCAGCTCCAGCGGGACGCGGGCGGCGTGAGGAGACCGCGGGCGGCGGGTGGGGCAGGCCCAGGGCTGCCGCGGCGGCGGCGCGTCGTCGAAGAGACCGAAGGCGGGGGGCGCGGCCGCATAGTGCAGGCCGCCCGGGCGCGCCGAAGCCGGGCCGCGAAGGCGGCGGAAGGGGCGCGCGGTCCGGCGGCAGGCGCGCGGGGCCGTCCGGCTGAGCGGCGGCGTGTCGGGCGGCGCGGGGGCGGCCCGGACCCGCATGCAGGCGGCTCGGGCCCGGGGCGCCCTCGCGCTGAGGCCGCGCGGCCCGCGGCCAGGCCGTGCGCGCAGCCGTAGCCTGCGCCGCCGTCCGCCTCGGGGGCTCGGCCTTGACCAGACGCGGGCGGGCGAGCAGAAAGCGGCCGTGCAGCGCCGGCCCGGGGCACGTCCAGCTCGGGCCGCAGCAGCTCGGACACCAGGCACCCGCGGGGGCGCCGTAGGGCGGCGGCGCGCCGGGCTCGGGGTAGTAGAACGCGGCGGCGGGGGCGGCGGCGGCGGCTCGGGGGCGGCTTCGGCGCCCAGGCCGTCCAGCCCATGGACAGGATGAAGCCGCACGCTGTTGAGGTCGTCGTCCGTGCCTCCGTCTCGGGCTCTGCGCGCGGCCAGCGCTGCGGGCGACAGGGCGGCGGGGCGCGGCGTGAGCGAGCGCGGCTCCGGGCTCGCCTGTGGCCCCGGCCGCCGAGGTTCTACGCCCGCAGCAGCCCGCGGTCCCCGCCGCCCGCGCCGCGCCATCCGAGCCCCGGTGCCCGCCCGCGCGCCTGCGCCCCGCAGCCCACGCTCCGCTTCCCCGAGCCGGCCGCCCCGCGGGCCCCGCCGCCCTCACCTCCTGCAGGCCGCGCTCGCGGCACGGGCTGGCGAAAGTGGAGAAGGACGGCAGGATGGGCTCGCTCAGCGCCATGGCGCCCGGGCACTGGGAGCCGGAGCGGGGCGCGCGGGGGCGGGGACGGCTCTGCGGCCGCGGCCGGCCCAGCCTTATAGGCGCGGCGCGCGCGGGGGCCGGGCCACGGCGGCGGCGGCGGAAACGCGTCCCGGATGGGGACGAGCTCCGAGCGCAGCCTAAATTTAGCCGCGGTATATAAGGCGGCGGCCGGCGGCCGGGGGCAGTGCGGGCGGGCTGTGCGCGCCGGCCGGCCCCGGCGCGAAGCCAGGCCCGCCCGCCCGCCGGCCGCCCGCGTCTCCGCGGCGACGCTGTCAACACGCGCGGCACAACAGCGCGCGACGCCGCGGGTCCCCGCGCCCGCTCCGCCCGCGCGCCGGGATCCCAGGACTGGGCCGGCCGGGCTTCGGGGCTCCCGGGGGAACGCGAGGCTCGGGCCTGGTGGAGGGGAGATGGGCTTCAGCCTCGCAGGGGTCCCCGGAATCCAAACAGAGGGGAGACCCGCTGCCCAGGACTCGGGGTGATGGGTGAGACTGGCCCCCATTTGTGGCGGGCGCACCCAGCAGGCCCGCTGTGCGCCATCATCACCCGTGAAAGTCCTTGTACGGTGACATCAAGACCCGTTGGCCCTTGCGCGCCTGTGATCCGAAGCACTTTGGGAGGCAAGCCGGAGGATCGCTTGAGGCCAGGAGTTCAGGGCTGCAGTGAGCATGGGTGGTGGCGCTACTGCTTTCGGGGTTGGGCGACAGAGCCAGACCCTGTCTCTAAAAAATATAAAAAGAAAAGACATGTGAAGAAGTCTTTGGGACACTCTCCTACCTATGCACACGTCTCAACTACTAAGCCCTTCAAGGGCAGGGAAACTGATGGGGGGGGGGGCTGGGAGAAGTTGGAGGCGGACGGGCTGCTGGCTGGCATTACTGAAGTAACTCAGGAGGACAGCAATGACAGGCACTCCACCAACACAGACCCGGCACCAGGGAGCCATTCTGCCCCTTGGGAAGCTCCACCCCTCCACATCTCCCCCCACCCTTGGGGCCTGCCGGCCACGGACTGTCACCCCTGTCGCTGGTTGTCGGGCCGTGCAGCAGCCCGGGACACAGCTGTCAGCGGGCGACAACATCCCTGCTCTTGGGAGCTCCACTCTAGTGGGCGGGGGCGGAAAAACCAGCCTGTTTGGGAAAAATCCACCAGCAGAAGGGACCGGGGGTCTGCCGAAACGTACAGCTGCACGCCCGAGAACGGCACTTTCTACTCCACCTGTCGGGCCACTCGGGAAACAGAAACTCAGTCCCGCTACGCCCGTCCCTCATTGCACTCAGAGAGGCCACCAGGTATTTTCAAATAAGCAAGAAAAGCAGCTTCACCTGCGGGTTTACAGCTCGACCGGGAGGACCCGGGACCTTTAAAAATATTACTTCGAAACCCCCCGTGAGTCTCTCTGCCGCGGAGGCCGGCCCCGGACGAGGTTGAGGGCCCCGGACGAGGTTGAGGGCCCCGGACGAGGTTGAGGGCCCGGCGTTGTGTTTGGGGGCAGTTTTTGTGGCAGCTCCCCAGAGAGGGCACGGGGCGCCCCAAAACATCGACCCCCTTCCTCGCAGGCGGAAGGGAGCCCGGGCTGTTTACTCTTGAAAAATGGATTTGATTGTCATCTCCCGTTTCTGCTTTCTCGTGGGTTGCCCAACGCTGCTCAGCTGTTTCCAGGGCTGCAGTGGAGGAGGAGGAGGAGGAGGAGGAGGAAGGATGGAGGGAGGGAGGAAACCCCAGCCCGTGTCGCAACGGGGTGAGAGTGTTTTAAAACGGGCACTGCTTACGAGCTATTTTCACTTTCTGGAAACAACTTGTGCAATTGTTGGTGGCCATGGTTACCCAGGGCTCCGGGGAGGGGGAAGGGGAGAGGTGGCAGGCGGGCTACCAGGGGACAGACACCTGCTTGCTTGATGGAGGCATTCAGGGTGGGGCTGGCAAGGCGGGTCTCTGGACGGGCCACCTCCGGCCAACGAGGCAGGGGCTCTGCTGCCTGCCGTGGGACTTCTGCACCAGGCCGCCTGCCGGGGAGGGTGTCACCACCCTCCGACGCCAGCGACGGGTGGGTCCCTGCACAAAGCAATGCTCCCCGCCAGTGGGGCTCGGGGGCTCTGGGAGGCAGACGGGCCAGGCCAACACCCCGACTCCACCTCTGCCCGGCTCCCTCTCTGCGCCTCATCTGGAAGAGGGCCACGCATGGCTCTCGAATGTGGGTCTCACTTTCTTTTTTCCCCTAACGGCATGGGGAACTCATTCCTTAGCAACTTGCAGAGTGGCTCGTGTCAGAAACTCAGCATTTACTCCTGCAAAAAAGCCTGCGTGCTCCAGAAATTTGGCAAAAACCTCAGAAGCTTCCAGGAAAAGGTGAAGGCTTTTTTTTTTTTTTTTCTGCAACCCCGAGGAGGCCACGTCAGTGCGCCCAGCACTTTGCCCAACTCTGGGGCAAAGGAGGCAATTTATGGCTCAAGGAACAATCTTAAAATAATCCTCCCTCAGTCCTAAAATGCAGTGTTTAAATTTATAGAAAAACCCACAGGTTCCTGGCAGCGGGCAACCCCGGGGCTGGCTGGGGGGGGGCAGGGCTCACAGCTCACTGTGCCCCTGGGGAGCTGCCCCAGCCCCTCCCCCAGCCTGCTCCCTCCAGCCTGCTCCCCCCAGCCTGCTCCCCACAGCCCCCCAAGCGCCCCAAACCCCCCATCTTCCAAGCAGCCAGACCACTGCTGTGATTTTTCAAAAGATGCAAAACTTTTTTTTAATTAAAAAAAAAAGAACAGCAAAAGTCTTATTAAAAAAACAAACCAGGCAGCCAAAATGCCCTCCTGTCTCCCTATGCAAGGTAATACAATACCTGTCACAGTCATTATGTACAATATTATAAAAAATGTCGCAGACAGTACAAATTAAGGCTGTATTTTTCACAAGGCATCAAGCCTCGAACCTCTAGTGTAGACCCGGTGGGGAGAAAGACGACGCTGAATTATTGCACCATTTTGAAAACAAAACTCGTCAAAGAGGGTCGTGGTCTTTTCCCACCGGGGCCTTCAGTCACAGGTGGGGGCTGGGGCAGTGGCGTTGTCGCTGTCGTCGGATGTGGGGGGAGGGGAGCCCTTCCGTGGCCACGCTGTGCCCAGCCCGGTCTTCCGGGTCCAATAAATAGCAGTCACAGTCTGGGAGGGGGCCGCACCCGGCGCGTGGGACCCGCCACGGCCGCGCGCGGGTCGGGGCCGGCGGGCTACATGTGCCTCTTCATGTGCAGCGCCAGGTGGTCGGAGCGCGAGAAGGCGCGGTCGCAGAGGTGGCACTGGAAGGGCCGGTGGCCGGTGTGCTTGCGGTAGTGGCGCGTGAGCTCGTCTGAGCGCGCGAACTTCCAGCCGCAGCCGTCCCAGTTGCAGTGGTAGGGCTTCTCGCCTGCCGGGAGGGGGGGGGGACGAGACTTGCCTCAGTTTCCCTCCCAGGTACACACCGTACACGCACGGACACTCGCCCAGATAGTGGCTACTTCCCCGCGCCCTCGCGCGCGCAACCTATTCTTACCCGGGGCACGGAAGCGCCCCCAAAGTTTTAAGCCCCTGGGGGGTCCTAATAAGTCCCCGACTCCCTCGGCCCCAGGGGGGCACGGGAGCGCGACATCCACCGACAAGTGTTTCGGGCCACGCCCCCAGAGGGACCTTAAGCGCGAGCCCTCTCTCCACCGTCGTCCGGACACGCGGCGTCCCCCAGGCCCCCAAGCACACGCTCCCTCCCCAGCTCTGAGCCTCGCCCCAGGGGGTCCTAAGCCTGCACCCCCAACTTTGGGAGAGGCAGCTTCTCCCTAGGGTTCTAAGCACGCGCCCTCTCCCCAGCTTCCTGAGCCTGGACCCCAAGGATTCTGAGCCACGTCCCCAGCGGACGCTAAGCTTGCGCCCCCATCCCAACCTTCTGAAACAGGGTCCCGCTAGCCACGCCCCCAGGAGGTTTTCTAAGCGCGCTCCCAGCTCCCAGCCTCCCGGGTCCCGCCCCTGGGTAGGGTGCCTTAGCGCGACCCCACCCGAGCTCCGCGGCCACGCCCCCGGGGACTCCTGCGCGTTCGCCCGCTCCCCAATCCCCCGGGCGCGGGGATCCCTCCGTTCCTCCTGTCGCCCGCGCGCGCCGCCCACCTGTGTGCGTGCGCAGGTGCGCCTTGAGGTGCGAGCTCTTGGTGTAGGTCTTGCCGCAGCCCGCGTAGCTGCAGGTGTGGGTGGCGGTGCGCTTGCGGGGCCAGGAGCGGCGGCCGCGCTTGGGCTTGGCCTCCAGCAGCTCCAGCGGGGACGCGGGCGGCGTGAGGAGACCGCGGGCGGCGGGTGGGGCCAGGCCCAGGGCTGCCGCGGCGGCGGCCGCGTCGTCGAAGAGACCGAAGGCGGGGGGCGCGGGGGCCGCATAGTGCAGGCCGGGCCCGGGCGCGCCGAAGCCGGGGCCGCGAAGGCGCGGAAGGGGCGCGCGGTCCGGCGGCAGGCGCGCGGGGCCGTCGGGCTGAGCGGCGGCGTGTCGGGCGGCGCGGGGGGCGGCCCGGACCCGCATGCAGGCGGCTCCGGGCCCGGGCGCCCTCGCGCTGAGGCCGCGCGGCCCGCGGCCAGGCCGTGCGCGCAGCCGTAGCCTGCGCCGCCGTCCGCCTCGGGGGCTCGGCCTTGACCAGACGGCCGGGCGGCGCGAGCAGAAAGCGGCCGTGCAGCGCCGGCCCGGGGCACGTCCAGCTCGGGCCGCAGCAGCTCGGACACCAGGCCACCCGCGGGGGCGCCGTAGGGCGGCGGCGCGCCGGGCTCGGGTAGTAGAACGCGGCGGCGGGGGCGGCGGCGGCGGCTCGGGGGCGGTTCGGCGCCCAGGCCGTCCAGCCCATGGACAGGATGAAGTCCAGCACGCTGTTGAGGTCGTCGTCCGTGCCTCCGTCCTCGGGCTCTGCGCGCGGCCAGCGCTGCGGGCGACAGGGCGGCGGGGCGCGGCGTGAGCGAGCGCGGCTCCGGCTCCGCCTGTGGCCCGCCGCCGAGTCTACGCCCGCAGCAGCCCGCGGTCCCCGCCGCCCGCGCCGCGCCATCCGGCCCGCGGTGCCCGCCGCGCGCCTGCGCCCGCAGCCACGCTCCGCTTCCCCGAGCCGGCCGCCCGCGGCCCCGCCGCCCTCACCTCCTGCAGGCCGCGCTCGCGGCACGGGCTGGCGAAAGTGGAGAAGGACGGCAGGATGGGCTCGCTCAGCGCCATGGCCGCCCGGGCACTGGGGAGCCGGAGCGGGGCGCGCGGCGGGCGGGGACGGCTCTGCGGCCGCGGCCGGCCCGCCCAGCCTTATAGGCGCGGCGCGCGCGGGGGCCGGGCCACGGCGGCGGCGGCGGAAACGCGTCCCGGATGGGGACGAGCTCCGAGCGCAGCCTAAATTTAGCCGCGGTATATAAGCCGGCGGGCGGCGGCGGCCGGGGGCAGTGCGGGCGGGCTGTGCGCGGCCGGCCGGCCCCGGCGCGAAGCCAGGCCCGCCCGCCCGCCGGCCGCCCGCGGTCTCCGCGGCGACGCTGTCAACACGCGCGGCACAACAGCGCGCGACGCCCGGGGTCCCCGCGCCCCGCTCCGCCCGCGCGCCGGGATCCCAGGACTGGGGCCGGCCGGCGGCTTCGGGGCCTCCCGGGGGGAACGCGAGGCTCGGGCCTGGTGGAGGGGAGATGGGCTTCAGCCTCGCAGGGGTCCCCGGAATCCAAACAGAGGGGAGACCCGGTGCCCAGGACTCGGGGTGGATGGGTGAGACTGGCCCCCCATTTGTGGCGGGCGCACCCAGCAGGGCCCGCTGTGCGCCCATCATCACCCCGTGAAAGTCCTTGTACGGTGACATCAAGACCCGTTGGCCCTTGCGCGCCTGTGATCCGAGCACTTTGGGAGGCCAAGGCCGGAGGATCGCTTGAGGCCAGGAGTTCAGGGCTGCAGTGAGCTATGGGTGGTGGCGCTACTGCTTTCGCGGTTGGGCGACAGAGCCAGACCCTGTCTCTAAAAAATATAAAAAGAAAAGACATGTGAAGAAGTCTTTGGGACACTCTCCTACCTATGCACACGTCTCAACTACTAAGCCCCTTCAAGGGCAGGGAAACTGAGTTGGGGGGGGGGGGCTGGGAGAAGTTGGAGGCCGGACGGGCATTTGCTTGGCTGGCATTACTGAAGTAACTCAGAGGACAGCAATGACAGGCACTCCACCAACACAGACCGGGCACCAGGGAGCCATTCTGCCCCTTGGGAAGCTCCACCCCTCCACATCTGCCCCCCACGCCTTGGACCTGCCGGCCACGGACTGTCACCCCTGTCGCTGTGTGTCGGCCCGTGCAGGCAGCCCGGGACACAGCTGTCAGCGGGCGACAACATCCCTGCTCTTGGGAGCGTCCACTCTAGTGGGGCGGGGGCGGAAAAACCAGCCTGTTTGGGAAAAATCCACCAGCAGAAGGGACCGGGGAGTGTGTGTGTGGTGTGTGTGTGTGTGTGTGTGTGTGTGGCGAGCCAGGGAAGGGAAGGAGGGAAGGTGGTGACGTTTCAACCTCACCCAGGTGGTGATTTGTGAGCCCGAGTGATAACGACAGAAGGTCATGGGAGCCACGTGGGTATTAGAGAGAGAGCATTCCAGGTGCAGCCTGGAGTCTCAGCCCCTCCAGAGACGGACTCTGCGGGGCTCAGCTCTGCAGCCTTTCCCACCACGGCCGGCCACGGCAGGCTTCAAGTTGAGCACAAACCTGCTCCCTGCCGCTGCCATCGACCGGGCCGACGCAGGAGTCAGCCCCCGCCCCTCGCCTCGTGCTGTGTGACCTCGAGCGAGTGGCGCTGCCTCTCTGTGCTCCCTTCTCCGCCTGTGCAAGGCAGATGGTAGCAGTGGGAGGGTCACAAGTGCTCTCTGGTGTTCCGTGGAAGTCGGTGACCCTGTGTGACACCCACGCCCAGCTCTCTAGAAATGCCCGGGAGACCAGCTCGCTGTGCGTCTTCCGGAGCTACTTGCTTTTCTCCGGGACTCAGTTTCCCCATATGGTAATAAGGGGAAAATTAGGGGAATCAATTCCCCGCCCTCCCCTTCCCAAGGATGTAGGGTTCTCAGGCGACTAGTGGGGACGGGGGATTTTTGTTTGCTTGGTGTTTTTGTTTTGCGGACTTCTGGCCTGAGCCTTCGTCTCATTGGTTCAGACAGCAACTTGGTCCCCTCGGCCTCTGAGCCTGCCCGGTGGCCCCTGCAGCTCTGTCCACCGCATCTCCCTGTTCCCTCTGCCTGGTCATGTCTTCTTATTTTTATTTTTTTTTATTTATTTTTGAGACTGGTGTTTTCACCTTGGAGGTGATGCGTCCATCGGTCAGCCTCACTACAGCAACCTCAAACTCCTGGGCTCAAGCAATCCTCCTGTCTTCCAGCTCCTTGAGCTGTGTTTTCCTCTATCTCTTTAGTTGGCCGAATTAATTTCTTTCTATTTATAATTAGAGACGGGGTCTCGCTCTTGCTCAGGCTGGTTTCGAACTCCTGACCTCGAGCGATCCTCCCGCCTCGGCCTCCCAGAGTGCTGGGATGACAGGCGTGAGCCCCCGCGCCCGGCCGGTCATGTTTTTTCTTTGGGGCAGCGCGCCTGCTGTGCTGAGCGTGCGCTGCACGGCCGCGTGCACCTTCCCGTGCATGTTGTCGCGTGGCTGCGAGTTTTCAGGTGAGCTGGGCGAATGCCGGAGGGGCTGGGACTGCCGGGTCGGGAGGTAAGAGCGCGCTTACTGTTCCAAGGAGCGGCCACGCCGCCTTGCAAAGTGGCCGCACCCACCCGGCGTGCCGCCCCACGCAGCGCGTGGCCACCTGGAAGGTTTGCAGCGGATCGGCCGTGTCCGTCCAGCCCGGCACCGCACACAGTGGGCGCTCCATAAATGCTCACTGAACGGGTGAGCAGGCGAGTGAGTGGAGGGAGCACTGGCAGCGTCCCTGGGTGTCTCCTCCCCCCCTGCAGGACGGCCACCCCCCTGCCCTGCCCTGCCGCCCCGTGCCGTGAGGAGTGGGGCGAGAGGTGGCGGAACGGAATCGTCCAGGCGTTAATCCTGCTGCCCGCCCAAGTGACCTCATTTGGAAGGAGTGTCTCTGCAGACGTCATCGGGGTCTGGGCGCGAGCGCGTCTGGGTCAGGGTGGGCCCTAAAGCCAGGCACGCGTGTTCTTGGAGAAAGCACACAGAGACACACACGCCGAAGAGGGCGGCGGGGGAGGGGGATGGCGGGGGAGGGTATGGTGGTGGAGGGGTGATGGGGGAGGGGGAGGAAATGGTGGGGAGGGGACAGCGGGGGGAGGCTGGCGGAGGGGACGCGGGAGGGGGACGGGCGCGGGGAGGGGATGGTGGGGGAGGAGGTCGGTGGGGACGGGGATAGTGGGGAGGGGACGGCAGGTAGCGAGGGGACGGCGAGGAGAGGAGGAGATTGGAAAAATGCAGCCGCAAGCCAAGGGACGCCCGGAGCCCCCGAAGCCAGGAGAGAGGCGGGGACGGATCTCCGCACCAGGCCCCCAGAAGGAACCAACCCTGCCCGCACGCCGACCCGGGACTCGCGGCCTCGGGGGAACGCACTCCTGTCGCTGGGAGCCACCCCCTTCGCCTCGTGTTGCGGCAGCCGCGGGCAGCTCGCACACACCCTGGCGACCGGCCGCTCCGCCGCCCGGCTCCCCCAGACAGGGAACCCCTCGCAACAGGGTCCCCCACCCCGACTCACCTCCGTGTCCCCGGCTCGGCTGTGGTCTGGTGTTGACACAATGGTGGCGTGAAGGCAGTGGCCACCCACCCAGGACCTCCCCCCCTTCCCCCCCACCCGGGGCAGCACGAGCTACGCCGGCAGAGCACCCGTGTGCCCGGGAAGAATGCGAACCTTAGTTGTCGCTTCAGCTGTGTGACCTTGGGCAAGCCACTCAACCTCTCTGAGCCTCGGTTTCCTTGTGAGACTGCATGTGCCGGTGTTTAACAGTACTTGCTGGCCTGGCGCGGTGGCTCGCGCCTGTCATCCCAGCACTCTGGGAGGCCGAGGCGGGCGTATTGCTTGCGGTCAGGAGTTCGAAACCAGCCTAAGCAAGAGCGAGACCCCGTCTCTACTGTACATAGAAAGAAATTAATTGGCCAACTAATATATATGGAAAAAATGAGCCGGGCATGGTGGCGCATGCCTGTAGTCCCAGCTACTCGGGAGGCTGAGGCAGGAGGATCGCTTGAGCCCAGGAGTCTGAGGTTGCTGTGAGCGAGGCTGACGCCACGGCACTCACTCTAGCCTGGGCAACAGAGTGAGACTCTGCCTCAAAACAAAACAAAACAAAACACAGGACTTGCTGCCGGACTGTGGGGCGAGCAGATGAACGGGTTAGAGGACCCCAGGCTCTGTGGGTTTCCCAGGCTCAGCGCGGGGCGAGGAAGTGGCTCGGAGCACTGCCCTCCCACGCTGCCAGCTGCCAACCTGCTGTCCACACGGCACCAACCCGCGTAGCTGCGTGTCCTCGTGAAGCCTCCGCCAGGGACGACGGTGGAGAAAGGGCAGTAGGCTGACGTCACAGTCCCAGCCCTGCCTCTCGCCCTCAACGCCTCCCAGCCTCCAAGCAGCCCGGCCCAGCACCTGCCAAGTGGGGGAGAACGAGCCACACCTCCACAGGTGATGGAGTCAGGAAGGGACATGGTTTTGCTGAACAACAAGGTGGGTACTAAGTAAGCCAGTACTTGGTACTAAGCACTTAGT